GTCGCCAATTGTTCATACGGATTCTGGATTTCCAGACCGCTAAATCGTTGTAACAATTCAATTTGAAATTGGTCCCAGGTAATAGAATCATGAACTTGCTTAACAATTGTAAACCAATGTTGAGCAACCCCTACCATACTCAATTGAGCCAAACGAAGTCGGAGGAAAGGAGGAGTACCATTAATATCGAAATACAGGATTGCTTTCTGAATCCATCCTTGTGGATCGAACCCGTTAAACTCTGGCAATTTGATCTTCTTGACAGCCCATGGAAGGCCATCGGTGGTTTTAGGCGGAGTTGGAATCCCACCCAGCGATCTTTCACCATTGTCAGGAGACCCAAAAGGTGGATCGATGGTGCCAGAGAACCCACTGGAATCCCCCCAGCTGTTGTTTTCCTTGTTGTTTCACCCACGCCATCATTACTTTGTGAAATTCGTTGGACTCAACTCGATCAGCCTCTAAAATCTGAATTGCCGACTTGATTTCCACCACATCGGACTGTAAGCGCTGAATAATTTCCTCGTGTTGCTCAAAACGATATTGAATGGAACGTGTTTCCATCGGAAATTTGGAAATGAGGTTGGAAAACAAGAGAAATGGCAGGTCAACGGCAGGTCGGACCAATGATAGAGAATGGCAAAATCAAGTTAACCGGAACAGAGGAGATTCAATGGAGAAGATGATGTAATTTTCATTAAGAAGATAAAAGCAATCAAATGATTGTCCAGGGAAGATCCCTCTCTCAAAGCTATGAGCTAAGAGCCAATACACTGGAAAAGAAATAACATAACATGCAAAAGAAAACGTCACTCCCTTCTATTTATTATTCTCTCTCCTCTAACTAACTCCTAGCCACACTCTGGAATTACCTCTATGCCCCTTCTAGAATAAACATACATTATCCTAGGCTTAGTGACTTTTGGTAATAATAAATCAGCATTCGTATCAGATTCTGCAATTGTTTTAGGTAAAACTATTTCTTTGTTTCCTTTCATACCCTGTTTGGTCATTATCATTGGTATCAGAGTAGGATTAATCGAGGATGGCAAACACCAGAAACACAGCTTCCAATACACAGAATGAAAGCAACTCTGACATTGTAGCTCAATAACTATCGTCCATTGCTTCTCCTGGACCCCTTGGCTGTTGATCTTGCGGTCTCAAATCACGGACTGCCGAAAAAATCGAAGAAGAAGCGGAAATTCCGTGGGATCGCCAACATTCCTCAAGGAGGCCTAATACAAAAACGGAGTTCCCCAAATTTGGAGGAGGGGATCCTCATGGAAGGAGCTTAAAAGCCAAAAAATACATTTGTTATTACCAAACTCCTACAGAATTAGAAGTTGAAGTTGCTTCAATGTAGCCGGAAGGTGATGCACTTGATTTTTCGCATGGACCAATAATCCATGTACCTTACTTTATTAAGAGTTGGTGAAGCATCACAGGAGAACTATGGCCAGTAGAACTTCACAAACTAGATGAATACTTATGCAGTATCAAACAAAAGAGAACAGTGCAAGAATATAGGTAAGAATTCGCTAAGAGGGCTTCTCGACTCTCGTGTTCACAATCAGCCAGAGCATCGCCTTTCAGGGTTTTTTAAAATGGGTTGGAGCCTGGAGGACCTTAAAAGTGATGTAAGAATTCATAGACCCAACAGCATTTACAAGGCTATGAGCCTTAGTCTTGAATTTGAAGCAAAAACAGGACACCTTTCTCATCCTCAATGCCCTCCCACGCCCCAAATCCATGCAATTCACTCTCGGTTACCCAAAGGACTTTGCTTCCAACGCAATGAGAAATTCGCATCGGGTAATCGATGTAAACAATCCACTTTCTGCCTGTTACACATCGCCAACGGAGAAGAACGAACAGAAGGTCAAGACAATGATGAACAGGAAGAAGATCTAGCAAAAATTTCATTCCATGCAATCATGGTTCAAACATCGGTAACAACCATGAAGCTCCAAGCAACTCTTTTGAAGTCTCAAGCCATATTTTTGGTTGAGAGTGATCCTACCCATAATTTTATTTCCTCTTCTTTGGTAATGAGTTGGGATTGACTATGAAAGCAGTTCTTAATTTGGGGTACAAATCAGAATGACAAAAGTATTTGATGCAACCAAATCTGTCGTAGTTTCCCCATCGAGTTGCTTGGTTTGGAAATCATTCAAGACCATTATCCGTTCTCCATTAAAGGTGCAGACGTTGTCTTGGGTATTAAGTGGTTGGCTTCCTTGAACACTATCCAAGCCAATTGGAAGAAGATATTCCATGATTTTCTATTTGAATGGGAAGAGGTACAAGTTACAAGGCATTCCAATAGCGGCAGAAGTCTAACTCCATCGTTATCCTAAAATAGTGAAAACATCAAGTGATCCCGCTATCTCAGAAGACACAATTATTTCTCTCATCTTATCATAATGTTTTTGCAGCAGTGGCCACTTTACCATCAATCCGTACTCACCCGCATGCTATTCCCCTGTTACCCGATGCTACTCACATCAGCCCATATCGTTATCCGTATTTCCAGAAAACCGAGATTGAAAACCAAGTTTAGGAGTTATTAGCATTGGGATATACATGTCCTAGTTTCAAACTTTATGGTGCAACCAATTTTCAAGATTCGACCTCATATTTGGGTAACACTAGATCCGTATGCATCCACCTGATGTATACAAACAACCTTCAGAACCCACTCAAGCCATTACAAGTTTCTTGTTATGCCTTTTGGCCTATCAAAAGCTCCATCCCCATTTCAGCTTTGTGATGAATGGTATGTTTTGTCCTTCCCTTTGCAAATTTATTTTGGTGTCCTTTGACGACATCTTAACATACATCCCCCACTTGAAAGCTCATCTAAATCACCTCCAAAGCACCCTTGAACTTACTATGCCTATGCCAATGCCAAAATATGTTCATTTGGCTGTTATCGAATCAACCTTATGGGACATATGGTTTCTCAAGAAGGATTGGGTGTAGATTCAGAAAAGGTGCAAATTGTAATGGAATGGCTTGATCCATGTAATATCAAGGAGCTTCTTCGGTTTTTTGGGTTGACAGCATACTATCATCGATTTGTCAAAAACTAGGTTCGATAGCAAAACCCTTGGCGGACTTGACCAAGAAAAATGGTTTCCTATGGAACCCTCAAGCTGAATCAGCCTTCAAGGAATTGAAGCTAGCATTAACAAGAGTCCATGTGCTTAACTACAGAATTTTAATCAACCATTCACAATTGAGTGTAATGCTTCCTCAGCTGGGGTTGGAGCCATTCTACTATAGCCAGATCATCATATTGCATTTTTAGCAAAGACTTTTCTTTCTCAAACTGTTTAAAGTCTGCATAAGGTAGAGAATTGTTGGGCCATGCTTTAACTTCACAAAAGTGGCCACATTATTTGGGAAAGCATTTTTTTGTGAAATCTGACCACTGCAACCTCAAACGTGTATATATATATGTAATGAACTTTGAAGTTTTCTCCCTTTGACTTCGCCATTGTCTATAAAGCATGGAGAGATTATCAAGATTCAATGCTTTATCAAGAACTCGACATGGTGCATTTGTAGCTACTGCTTTGCCGATCAACATGGATTTTGCAGGTCTCCAAAAAGCCTTGCAAAAGGACCACATCCACTATTTTGTTCTTTTGACTACACACTTCCCACATACCATGTGAATGTGGCTACAATCACGTAACAACCCCTCCCCCCAGGCCTGTTTTGGGCATTATTCTGGCAGATTTCAAAGATTTTTCACCTATTTTGGCCCCTATTGCTCACCTTAGCCATATATATACCCTTATTTTGTTTTTCCTTTAATCTAAGGATCATAATATAGTTCTTCCATCAACTACAAAGAATAGATGAAAGCTTACTCCATTGGATTCATCTAGTTTTGTCATTCTCTCTTGTAAGTTGCTTTATACTCCCTTTGGTATATCAATACAAGTATTCTCTCACCCCATGGACATACACTACCTAACAGTAAACGGTAGTGAAATAAGGAAAATTCTTGTCTGCGTGTGTGGTTGGATATATTATCCTTGGATAGCCATTTACTTGTTGCTAGACCCCAGACATTCCCTATTTGTTGTTTGTGGTTCACTTGCATTTGGATTCTGGTATTTGGAGACCTACGAGATCGTTTGTTTGGCAAGATTTGAACTCGTACACCAGCTACTTCAGCCTGAAGGCATGAAACTAAAAAAATTGCATTTTGGAAAAAAAAATGTAGCCATGATTCAAAAATAAGCTCCTGGTTACACAAATAAGGTGACTGCCACAAAGACAAGAGACATGGCCAGTTTGCCTTGATTGCTCCAGACGAAGCGAGTTCCACAAGGAGTATCAACGCTTAGCCATGAACATTAGTACATTATGGTTATTACTCATAGAGAAAGCAGCGACACAAACCTGAGCTCAAGTGTACGAGGGGATGCCAAGAAACACATAATTTCAACATCATCGGTAGATTAGATGAAATGGTTTTTTTGAATTAATACCGGATTATTTCAAGTGTACATCATGATTTTATATTCGTTCAATTTCAATATGGTATATGACGGAAAGATCTATAATATGCTTATCGCAACAGTTAATCCTCCTCGGTAGCTTCATGCTACTTCAATAGAATGATTAAAGCCAGAACAGTGTCTCATCTTTTTTTAAAAATTTAAGTAAGCCACCAAACAAATACGAAAAGGAAGACGTAAAAATAAATAAGTGAAAGGTTGGTGCAGACAAGATAAAGTGAAAGAGATTGTGGGGAAGTTATCGACTTCCCTAGCTCTAGACTATAAAGCTCAAGAAATATTCTTTTAGCAATTGCTAACAGAGCATTCATGAAAATAGTATGCTTGTCAAGAGCAAATTTTCTCCAATTTCGCAAGTTCCTATAATATCAACTATTGTTAAAAAGGCATTTTCTAGAGGATTCCAAATTTGGTTAAAGCAAAACCACTATAGAAAATACTAAGTTGGAAGCGTCAAAATACCTTGTTATGTGCAGCTGAACCACCATATTGATGAGCTAGTGTGTCTCCCATTCTCTCATAAAATCCCATTAATTCCTCCGCCAAAGGGTTATCAAGGTCAATCTCTGAAGAACCTATCGCTCCTAAAGCATGCAGCTGACGTCCTAGAGCAGCCAAACCATATGCATATTGTGCAACATTTGTGCGATCCAAACAATCTATGCAATTTGTCCTGAGAATTCCTTTTTGAAACATTGGTAATCTAACAGAGCTGTTATCCTTCTCCACGTATTTACCACCACAATAGTTTTCCTGTCTAGCACTGGTATTCTTATATCCACTATCACAACTTTTAGCATCATCAATGTTGAAATCCCGCGAGGCAGACAAGTTGCTAGCAGCAACATTCCTGTTTCATATGCACATTAACTTCATTAGTCATGCATTCACATAGGTTTAAGAAATCAACAGGAAGGTATCCACTTAATGCAAGATTGTCTATGTATATAGGTTTTATTTAAAAAAACTTGCAATGGTTTCGCATCTGCCAACACCAATAGCAAATAGATGCATATTCAAGATCTAATTCTCAATAAATCTAAATATTGAAAAGCTACAATTAGCAACCTTGTTATATGGATCAGCTGTTACATGTGCGTCCATGTATATAGATGTCACAGACTGAGGACACGTGAAAGTGGTCATAACATTGGGAGTTTGGGACTACCAGCTGAAGATGAAAGGAGAAAACGCTCATAAATGCACATTTGTTGGAACAGATTACAAACAGACCTTACACCTTTCAAGGACCAACTGTAATGCTTTTTACGTTTTATGCACTTGAAAGTTCCATAAGCAAATAATGCAAGTCAATAACTTACTCAAAACAAGGCCATCTCAAGCACCCTTCAGATCTATACACTGGGACAACTTGACAGTAAAAGAAACCCGTCAGTGTCAGTGCATATGCCGTCAATCTGCCTAAAAAGAGCAACGCATTTGTGCCTTTGCTGGAAAAAGTTATATGTCAGGGGATGGAAGAAAAAAACAAGGCACAATTTTGATATAATCATTACCATACAAGAAATGATAGCTAGGAAAGGGGGAGGAGGCGATGAAGAAAGTAATTGTGAAAACAGACAAGGTAAGCATTAACCTTCGAGAATGCTTGTGCAGATCCCAGTGTAGAAATTTGAGATGGTTCTCCTCCGATAAATCTTTATTAATGCATTTAATTGCATTGGCAAACTCAGTACGAAGAATGGACTCTCGAGGTCTTTTTTCATTCGTCTGTTGAAAGTAAAGATATGATATCAACTGACATAGATTCGGAGAACCAGTAAAAACTTATATATTGGCAACCACATGAATGACCCTGCATATGCATTTGTTCTCTTATTTTAATATTGAGTATGGATTACAAAAGTAACATATTCCTTTCAATTATTTTAATATAAGCAGTTTGGTTTTCCTTTTGTTTGCTCTTACCCCTCAGAAGATAGGATCATTACACATAAATTCTAATACTTTATTCTGGCTCGAAAGCATCTAATGTACATACAGAAAAGAACCAACATGATTCAAGCCATTTTTTAAATCAACATTACCTTTATCAAATTCAATATGATGATAGGGTTTCCATATCTCTTGACAAGATTCTGAAAATGAAGTCTGGTAGCTTCGTAGTTTTGGTCCCTCCTTGACACTAAAAGATACATGTCAGCAAACAAAAATACAGTGAACAAGATATATAGATGCCAATTAATGAATCATACACATAATATCAGGCTTAATATTCAGGCGTGAAGTTTCTTGTGACCAGAAAAGTGGTATTGATCCACGATTTTGAACAACTGAACTAATTTGCATAGGAAATCCATCAGGAACATCTTCAAACAAAATTTGCTCTGTTTCTACGTCATTAGCCACTCTGCCCTTCTCATTTACCCCTCGTTTTAAGTACCTGTATTTAAACAAAGTAGCAGCATCAGTTTTTAACATGTATTTTGCTAAAGATGCTTAGACCACATTCTCTATATCTAATGAATAGTGTATGCATGTATACAAAGATGGGTGAATAAAACATGTCTTCCAAATCTATGCATATGCAAAACAGATGATACAGCATATAAGTTCAGGTTCAAAGGCTTGATGTCATTGTCGATGCGCTTACTTTCCAACTATTAACAGACACAAGCACATCAACAATGCAAAAATGACTCAACAGAACTACCAACAGGTTATAGAAAGCTCCATTGTAGTAGGAAGGGACTGGAAACTGAATCATCTAATTAGTAGTTCTGCTTTCATCTAAAAGTAAAATTTGAATGTGCTTTCTATACATATGAACACAAGCTAACCTGGTCCCAGCATAATGGCGGGAACGTCTTGAGATGAGAGTCAACCTGAAGTCCCGTCCAGAGATTGAAAGCTTATCCTTGTTTTTCAAAAAAATAAAATGTTAAACAAAGTATCGAAATGTCTATAACCAAAATAACGTAAAAGAGAGCATATACTGCTCAGCAAATTAACTATATCAAATTTATCTGGAGCCATTCCATTAGTTACCCTCATCATCATAATGTAAAATCACAGAGCACTGTATGTGTGTGTGAAATGACCTATGATTAAAATAATGAAAAGCAAATAATAATAATCACTAATAAATGAATACAAGCCAACCTGTTTAAAAAAACCATAAACCAGTGCCACTGTCCACATTGTATTTTGGAGAAAATTCCGGATTCCACGGGTTAAGAACTCATTCCAGACGAACATGGTCTCATAGAGAACCTGTCTTGTCTCATCATTACAACTGTTCTTCTGAAGGCTACACATAACATGGTATGAGTAACTGAAAAAGAAGTCCTTTGTAAGATCCACCATGCAGAGTAGCTTCTTGTATCTATGCCAAAAAAGGAACACAAAAACAAAGTCAAATAATACTGGATCATCTTTATGTTTTAAGTTGAACTTGAAAAGATATGGTCAATAAAGTTTATGTAATCGTTGAAGACGCATGATTACTTCTTTCAAAAACCACAACAAAACTAGAGGCATCTGAACCCTAACAAAGCCTCAAGTAGGTTCATCGAACCTAAAGTCAAACATCCTATTAAGGCAATGGCCATTCAAGACATAAAGCACAAGCAGCAAGAAGGACTATCAGCTGATGAAAATATAAGAACATCATAGCCTCCATAAATACCAAAGATCATTTGCCTATCATGTTTACATGGGTATGAGTTCATTGTACCTATGAAATACTACTTGTTTTCTCTTACCAATAATAGCTATAGATATATGTATATAGCCAAGGTGAAAGAAAAGGAATGATGATTATAGCCATTTCTTCAAACAAGATTGGCAATAGATCTTCTGCAATATTTTCCTCAGTTGCTTTCCAGGATTATCACCTCTTAATGAGTTCAACACAAAAATGTGGATGCTCGTGTACTTTTCAACTCTCCAGTCTCATTTTGTAGTTGAATATTTCTCATATAATTACTTCGGCTAATTTGAGAAATAACCAAACATACCTAGTATATCCCACTCGGAAGTAAGATGTGGGGAGGATAAGATGTACGAAGAACTTTCCTCTACCCAAGGGGTAGAGAGATTGTTTCTGTGTAGACCCCAGGCTTGAGAAATATTTTTGGATAGATTAGCAAGAAGCTGCAAGCTTGGGGGAAAAGAACCTTAAAAAGTTTCAGGACGTATAGAAAAACAAAAGGAAAGACAGAAAACAGGCTAAACAAGTAACAAGGGAAAGAAGGATGCAGAAAAGGCAAGATACAAAAGCATCTAAGCAGGCAAGTCCTAGCTAATTGGCACAAGAGAAACTTCTAACCGCCGAGAATACCCCCCCCCCTTCTAACTAGCTTATGGCATTACAAACTTATACGTTGGATCTCTACCCTCTCCCTAACCCACCCACAACCCTCTCATCCTCCCCCCCCCCTCCCCCTTTGCTGTATTACCTCATAATTTCCTACAAATAATCAACTATCCTAATCACTTGTCTCCAAACACTCTTATTTGAGGTCATCTCCTCGGAGAGTACCAAGGCCACCATGTCTAGCCTCAGTTGCTCATCCCACGTCCTCCTCGATCTACCTCCCCCCCTCGACCAGCCGTTAGCTATATCCTATGAATGTGCCTAACTTCCCTCTCTCAATTTATCCATGATAGTCATATATCCTAGCTCTACTTAGGAGGACCTCATTCGAAATCTTGTCCATTTTGGTCCCACGACTGGTCCACCTCAACATCCTCATTTCTGCAACTTCCATCTCGCATGTGCACTTTTCATCATCAACGCTCACACCCACATAACATAGTCTGATGGCCACCATGTAAAATTTACCCTTCAATTTTAAAGGGGGCTTGTGTAATGCAACACTTGCCCTCCACTTTAACCATTCGATATCTAGCATCTTCTTAACCTTTCCCTCTTTAATCATAGGGCCCATGTACTAGAAACCGTCCTTTTGCGGTACAATTTGCTCCCCAGTGTTGACTCCAACCCACTCCTCATTGCACCCTCTATTAAAACTGGACAATAGCTATTTGATTGTAGAGCGCTAATGCATAAACCTTTTGCTTCCAATGTATCCCGCAAAAATCAAAACTAAAAATCATCCTATAAAAATGTTTAAAGAAGTTGGTAAACAAAATAAAAAATGGGATAATATTCATTGGAAAGGGGCTGATCATCCTATACTATCAACAGTTAAGGATACTTGTATGATCATAGGTAACGATTTATAGAAAGACATTATATTTAATCATAACTAAACACCGAGATGACAATCTTAATGGCATCTCCAGTAACAAGTCTCACGAGAATCAAAGAGAGAAAGAGATCCAGGAAATGACCCTAGTCTTATATGCATATGTTCCATATGTTATAGAATAGTAGGCTACCCTCTAGCATACTATAGTACAACACTCACTTGGAATTATTATTGAGCTGGCAGCTCAAGCATTTACCAATTGGGGAGGAGAACAAAGGTTTGCCTTATAAGGGACTGGATATCTCCTCTATCAGACATGTTCTAAATCCGTGAGTCCAAGTGTGGATAAAGTGGACAATATCCGGTACGATTAACCTGGGAACCAGAGTGTGCCAGCGATGTTGGGTTTCAGGGGGTGGATTGTAAGATCCCACATCAGTTGGGAGGGGAACAAAGGTTGCCATTAAGGGACTTGGATGCCTTCTCTATCAGACACGTTTTAAAACCGTGTGTTGATAAAGTGGAGGAAATCTGGCACCGTTAGCCCGGTATGTCAGATTTACCATGCTACAAATTAAAAACTCCAAATTATAGGAAGAATGAGTATGTTCAAATAAACAATATAGGGAAGATATCAATAAGAGGTTCTCATCTTGGTATTTCATGAATACAATGTATGAAGTAATTAACAAAGATTACCTATTTTCATGTCTCAACATAGTCAGATTGGACTGAGTTACAGTATCTGATAGTGATATCATCTCAGTCTTAGAGATCGCATATACTGTATGGCCACCAATTGAACCAATTGGCCTTCTTTTCGTAATCAGCAACATGTAGTACGGTCCAAGAAATTTGATAAAACCTAAGAACCACAAAGCACAATAAATACATGATGTGAACCGGTATTTCCTCGAGAAGTATCTACATAATAATATATACATACCAACAATTCCATAGCAAGTGGTAACAAACTTGAGTCCCCCTGTGGACCTATTACCCTCATGGATCGTTCTCAAGAGGTCAGAGCATTCATTTTCTGTATAAGTTGTAAAATCCTCACGAATGTTAAGCTCGGAAGCCTCTAACCTGTCAATCTTCAACACTCTCCAGTGTCTGCGACTCTTGTCTCTTCCTACCATGTAATATTTCTATCCCGAAGGAGGAAAAGCAAAAATTGTTAGATAAAAAAAAGAATACATTGGTCAGCAGAACAGAGAATAAATACAATCTTATAAAAGAAAACACAAATCACTTGGCATGTGAATGGAAGTTACGTGTAGAACCTCAAAATACAAAGATAATTACAGAGTTCCACATACTTATTCATTCGCTTTGTCAACTTATCAAGAACATGATTAGTTGAAAGATACAAATCAATGCACCAAAAAGACATGGATACCAATTATATGATGTTTGTATGCATACATGTGTGTATATATGCATAAGAAAAGAATATATGAGCTTGTATTCGTGCATATGCAAATGCAAAGCAAGATGACAATCACACAACATGTAAAGAAGGAATATTTATATGTTTCTTTCGAAACAATGAATGTTCCATTCCACTCTCAATTTTCAAGATTCATTCCCTTCAATCAAACTCTATCAATTCAAAGGTTCATACTTACTTCAACATGAGAACATCGAAGAAAGGGCTAGAGGCTTGAATATCTCTAACCAACAAGAACCCAAATTCACACGAATTACCAATCCATGATCATACAATCCCCAACACCTGTAGGTATGATGATTGCAAGCTCCAGTCACTTTCATGAGTTGCAATTTAACCGCTAACCTTTGTCCCAACTACTACTAATTGAGTCTCTGAACCAATAGTTGTTGGATCAAGACTCACAGCTAACAAGGTACTTGTATATTTTCATATCCTTGTATTTGCCTTTTATACAAAAAATAATCTTATTATGCAACGCTTGTCATATGCCACTAGGTAACTCGGGTAAGAGGACATGTATATTGACTTCCATTTCTACTTAGATAACTTATGCAGAAACATTGACCATATAACTATTGATAACACTATTTTGTCTAATCATCCTCGTCTCATTCCCCTTCTGCAAAAATTTCTTATGAATTAATACCGTGTAGTTGCCACTCCCTTGCAACTGCGTTATGACCTGTTGTTTCCAAAGTTGCAACTCCCTTTCACCTATCACATAGATAGTTGATGGATCATCTTTGAGGCTATCAGATACCTCTTGAATAAGTGTATATGACTTCATCTCATTCCTGAATTTGTTTTTTAGTTGCTTCATCATCTATGCATAGCGAATAAAGCAAATCCATAAGGAACAACGATTCCGAAAATATAGAATAATGTGAACATAAAATATAAATCCTTGTAGCATCTGAAGTGTGATGATTTTGTATGTTTATCCATGTTCTTGATTCCTTATATCCTTCCAATATTCCAACCAATATTCGTATTGTGAATCTTTGATTCATTCGAAGTCCTCAATAGGTAATTATATAAACCGCACATAAATGAAATTTTTCAATGACGACATTTGCATTTAAGTATAATAATAAACCAAGGACTAGAAGATCAAAAAATAAAATTTGAAAAATGTTCTTGTCAAATTAAAACAATATTTTATGTATATTTGTATTATTTGTTTAATTAATTAACCTATGAAAATAAGAGGGGGGCTTAAAATTTAAAAAGGCCAAGTGAAAGTGATATGTTGAACAAGGGGCTATTTGGTAATGGATTAATGGGCTTAATAGCCTATACGACTTACCGAATAAGCCATATTAAAGTGTTTGGTTGTGGCTTAATCACTCAAATAACAACTTATCCGCTCAGCTTCCTACCCTCTCTTGTATACATTCAGTCCTGAAAAAGACCCTGTTACCCTTCTCTTAAAATACACCTTCCATGGATGCTCCATCCTCTCACACCACCAAACTCATCGATGTTCATCCCCTACTCACCAGGCCCTGCCTCGTCTCTGCTCATTGATGCTTATTTTCTTTCTCCATCTCTCGACCTGATATTTTGGATATGCTGAAGAGATGCTCGAAAGTTGGAAATGTTGTTGAAGACCAAACATGCTCGATCTGGTATTTCTTTTTCTCCATCTCTTGATCAATGTTCACCAAACCTGCTCGCCATGCTTTTCTTCAATTTCCAGAAATTGTCGATGAATAAGGATCCCATTTTCTAGTGCTTTTCTTCCTTTCTTTTTAAATTTCCACCACCACCGCTCCAAGTCAGAAGGAAACCTAAAACCCACCACCACTTTTTGTTGCTGGTGGATTCCACCTTCATAGTGTTTTCCTTTTTTCAGTTCGTTGTATTTTCTATTTGAAATCTGGCAATTGAGATGATGAAAGTCTCTAGGTTTTCAATTCGATATTTAAGCATTTATGATGGAAGATCATATTTTTAAGCATTTTTTGGCACACACCTGTTTTTGTAGCAGTCTTCTTTCACCATTTATGATGAAAGATCATATTTTTATACGGAATATTGATCTTTAGGTTTATTTAATTTTAGGGGTTAAATAGTCATTTTTGTCATTGAGATCAGTCATTCAGCATAACAACCGAACAACAATTCAGCCTAATCCATACAGACAGCTTAATCCATATAGAGCTTAATGAAAAAACAACCAAACAGCCCCTAAGTGGGTATAAGAGAGGGAAAAGGGAGGGGCTCCTATATAAAGGAGGAGATAAAGTTTTGGAAAACATATTTGTCTTGACTTAGCAACCTCCATTACACTTGAAAGGGGTGTATGTCTTACGGGTGTAAACGAGATGAGTCAAGATCCATCTACAGTCAACTCGATATACTAACCAGCCGACTCGAGTGTCAATTTAAACTACTAATGAGTTTCCGAGTTGAGTTCAAGCCTAGAAAACCGTTATGGAGTTCGAGTATATTGATACTTGAGCTTGACTCGCATCATATACAACGTACAATCCCCCTTATATCTACCAAAAGATGCCAAAGCAAAATGATAACAAGTAGGCATATTATCTCACAAACGTGTCTATGTAATAATATTGGGAGTCAAGTTGTTGCTCAGTTGTATAGTCATGTTACATGCTACGAGTTTGTCTCATTCAAATTCCAACTGTAACTACATGTTCAGTTCACATAGCTAAATATAACCCTTCATCTAAAATAAGTATAAGTGGGTGGTGGTATTAGAAATTAACACTAAGAAAAGTAACATCGGGCGCAGGAAGTTTACAATTGAAACATGTGTAGGCGTACTAATAACACGAAGGTATTAGACATCCCAAAAAGGCAGACTTGGTAACAGCACATGATTCAGGCAACTAATCAAAAAGGAGACAGGTTACAACCACCATTAAAGTGTAGTTCCATGATCATTATAGCAGGAAGTCTAATTAGTAGAACTGGAATGCATATTCTGGGGGAAACATGTTCATACCCAAGAGAACATAGAAATAAGTCAGCAAGAAGAATGTTTTGACTTTTGAAACAGTCCAAAAAGGCCACATTAGCAGATCAAAGCGGTCATATAAAAAACTAAAAACGAACCACACGTGGGAGAGAAGGAAGATGTAGTACCGATCGAGTCTCGTAAAGCCTGAATTTTTGTAGATAGGCAAGTGGAGTAGCCACGGGAGAGAAGGATGGTTCATCAGCCTCATTTTCTGACGCGGCCATGTGAGAGGAGTATGGTATTGGTTCGTTAAGAGGAGGGAAGAGATGCTCATTATCTGTCGCCATCGCTATTATTTGTCCGATGGTTGTCCAATCCAGATCCGAGCCTCCTCCTCAGGGCTCGGTTCAAAAATAAAATCAGAAGAGCATTCAACCCTGCCGCTGTTTAGTTATATATATACTCTGCCCAGCAACAAAACCCCGAATACATGGAGTTTGGTTGCTTCAGATACAGCATTCCTTTATGACTTTATGATTTTTTTACTCCACCGATTCTCTTTCTTCCATTCACGATGATGATCTGCCCTGCGAATATGTCAGGTACCCGTCTTGTTTAGTCCTGTATAACCTGTGCTTGTTTTATGTTTGTGGTGGAAAGGGTTTCTAATCTCCGGACAACCAAAAAGATTGGTTGATAACAGGATGGTTCATACACGGAATCAAGGTAAGATTAATGACCATAGAAAGATGAAAATGAAATAGTTTACGAACATGAAAGATTGTTGGGATCAAGAACAAGAAAATGGAACGAGAGTTGAAGAAATCGGGAAGAAATGACTCTCCTTGTATATATTTTCGACGATTAGGTTTCTTCGTACAGGGAAGGGTGCGATTGAGGAGGCAAAAGAGACAGAGGAGGAGGAGGAGGAGGGATGGAAGACTTATTACAGTTATATTACTGTTCAGATCCACCGGGCGGACAGGGCCTCGAGATATATAATGGAAACCACAACTTGGGGTTGTGTGGCCGCACCGTCCTCACAATTCAAGCCCCATTATTTAATCAGAGTATATTACATAAATCGTCCCTGTATTTTACAAATTCTGTGAATATAGTTCTACAGTTCATTTATTACAAAAAACTTCTCCTTGTTTCAATTTTGTTTTTAACATGGTCCCTAACACTGACGTCCATCAAATAATAGCGGTTAAGTCACCCATGTTTTTAGCATGTAAGGATATTTTAGTTTTTTTATATATTTTTTTATTAGTTCTATTATTATATAAGTTAGGAATGCATCGATACAAGAACAACTTGCATTTAATTAAAAGATAAAAACTAAATTGACAAACCCCC